TGCTGCGTCCGCAGGGTTACTGGCGGTTGGCACATATTTCCAAGATTCAACAGTTGTGATTGCCTGGATTTTACTTATGCGATTACTGACATATTGTTTGTATTTTCCAGGATTTGATCGGATCCAGCTGAGAACTGTTTTTGAATCAGACCAACAGTATGTNCTAACAGCTGGCCAAGCTTTGATAATCAAATAACGCTGTCTTAAAAAGTTGAGAGTCGCCTGAGTACCTCCATGCAACGTCGATTCATGAGCGTGCGCAATTAACAGCTTGCTCAGTGCTCCATCTTGTGGCAGAATTATTGGAGAACGTTCACACGCAGAAAGAAATCGTGCATTCTGCAGTCGTCCATTTAGTCGAATGATACCATCTTCATCAATGACCGGGTTAAACTGGAGAAGTTTGCTCTTCATGCTGATCGGCTTATTCGTGCGAAGACAAGAAAGTTCATTATTAAAATGTGTGTGTTGAACGTACCTGAGCCANACATGCTGATCGGCTTATTCGTGCGAAGGCAAGAAAGTTCATTATTAAAATGTGTGTGTTGTGTGTGCCACAGCTTCAATGCTTCTGTTCGTTCTCCTGCAGAACACCATGGAGTCGTTTCGTGGGTTTTTTTCATCAGCGCCGCTATGAACCGTGGCATAAACGCGGTAACTGCTAACAATTTGTTAAGGTCTGAGTACTTAGAAAGGAGCGTGGCCAGAACCGACGGAAGTTGATGTGATGGCATTGTAGCCAACGACACCACAGTTGCTTCAGTCCTGGCTGGCCCGATGGAAGGTTGTGTGGGCCATTGATGAGAGTGAACGAAGCCATTGCGGTCCGTCCCACCATATAGAAAGCTCCTTCAGTTGCGATGGCATAAATCCCCGAGATGCTGCGTCCGCAGGGTTACTGGCGGTTGGCACATATTTCCAAGATTCAACAGTTGTGATTGCCTGGATTTTACTTATGCGATTACTGACATATTGTTTGTATTTTCCAGGATTTGATCGGATCCAGCTGAGAACTGTTTTTGAATCAGACCAACAGTATGTTTGAAGGTATGGTAGTTGAAGTGTTTCCGANACCAACAGTATGTTTGAAGGTATGGTAGTTGAGTGTTTCCGAAAGCTTGGTCGCAAGTGGGCTGCCAGAAGAGCTCCATTTAGTTCCAAACAGGGAATTGTTATTTTCTTCAAGGGGCGATTTTTGTCTTCGCGGCCAAAATGGCAACATGTACGTTTCTCGGCGCTGTGTCGAACCTGAGATATGCTACCGCAGCATATGCTATGGCGGACGCATCGGAAAACACATGCAGTTGGTAACCTCTACAGTTGGGTTCTACACCGAGCCACCTTGGAATTCTAAGACGCTCAACTTCACCTAGCTCCTTTCTAAACCATTGCCATTCTTGCTTAAGTGGTTCGGGAATTGGGTCATCCCAGTTTAAACCTGCCACCCACAACTTCTGGCACATAGCTTTTCCAGTTACAGTTATCGGCGCTAGTAACCCTGGAGGATCGTAAAATTTACCGATGTCTGATAATTGCTGCCGTTTGGTGATTTGGTTTGTTAATGGACTCAAGCTAACCTTATATGTCAAAGAGTCTGAATCACAGAGCCAATAAATGCCAAGAGCTTTAGTTTCACGGTCCAGGTTGAGGTTGCAACAAATATTTGTCTCTTTGTCATCTGCACTTAATCGCTGCATGAAGTCTTCAGAGTTTGAGCTCCTCTTTCGTAGGACGAAACCACCGCTTTGGAGTAACTGTCGCAGTTGGTACTGGATTTCCAAAGCAGCATCGACGGAGTCAGCTCCATGCAAACAGTCGTCTACGTAAAATGATTCTCGCAAGACCTTAGACGCCTCAGGATAAGTTGACTCTTCATCATCAGCTAATGTTTGTAGCACTTTAATTGCAAGATATGGTGAGCAATTTAAACCGTACGTGACTGTTAGCAATCGATAGGCTGCTGGCTCTCCTTCTGTACCTCTCCATATAATACGCTGCATGTCAGCGTCATCACGGCTGACCAGAATCTGCCGATAACACTTCTATATCTGCCATGAAGCCAATGCGGTGAAGCCGAAATCGAATAATTATTTGGCTTAAATCGTTTTGGAGTTTTGGGCCAACATGAAGTCGTTTAGGGAGATGTTTTCTATGGTTTTACGGGATGCATTGAAAACTGTACGCAATTTGGTGGTTGAGCTCGATACCTTGTACACCCCATGATGCGGAATATAGCAAACAGTTCTCGGCTCCTCGTTTTCAATTACCTTCTCCATGTCCCCTTAAGCTAGGTACTCGTGTCATGAAAGTGGTGTACAAATGATCCATTTCAGGGTCATTTCGAAGCCTAGCTTGTTGAGACCGAAACAGTTGAATTGCGTCAGCTTTCGAGTTGGATAGTTTTGTAAGATCACAATCGGCTTTAAACGGATACCGAATTTGATACGGCCCTGAGCTAGTTCGCTGAACAGTGTCTTTAAAAAACTCTTCGCAGAATAATTCGTCTTGTGTCATTTTAGATGGAGGTAGTATCTCATCAAATTCATGAAATTTCCACATCTGCTGAACTAAGCTGCTCAGGTCATCAGTGGTTGTTGCTGTGAAATGTGTTGTACATAGTTGGGGAGATGCAGAGCAGGGTATGCGTCCGTAAATAACCCAGCCAAGATACGTATTTTGTGCTTGGCCGAACCGCAGGCAGTGTGCTTGATCCCACCTTTTACTAAGAGACCGTAGAGGTCTGCGCCAATGATGACGTCAATTGAGCAAGGCTCGTAGAAATTAGGATCTGCTAGTGTGAGATCTAGAAGGTCGATATAGGGCTTTGGA